GACTTGCTACCAGGGAGGGAATAATCTCGTTGACTTAGAATATGCAGACGATATAGTCCTTCTAGGCGAGGACGCTGACAAAATGCAGAGTCTTCTAAACACCTTGAGCTGCAATCTACGAATGTTTGGCATGCGATTCGCCCCCGCCAAATGTAAGATGATGTTACAGGACTGGACTACACTGATCCCTAGTTTGGAAATAGGGACTGAAGTGGTAGAGTACTTTGACCGCTTCACTTATTTGCGAAGTACCATCAGCTAGTGCCAACGGGTTGATCTCTGACGAAATCTCAGCACGGATACAGAGAGCTAGTTTTGCATATGCCAGTTTACGCCGCCTCTGGCGTAGAAGTGAAATCTGGATGGCTATCGACCAAAGAGTGGGTGTAATGCTCATCAGTTCGCTCCGTCCCTCTTTATGACCAACTGTGAGACCTGGCCATTGAGAGTGGAAGACATGAAAAGATTAGCTGCCTTTGATCATAGGTGCCTTCGCTCTATCTCCCGTGTAAAGTGTTATAATAAGGTGAGTAATATTGAGGTTAGGCGACGAGTTCTAGGTAAGGAGGGGAAATCAATCGACGAGGTTGTGAAGTTACATCGACTGAGATGGTAAGGACATGTGTTACGTATGCCTAGTCAACGCCTTCCTCGACGGGCAATGTTAGCTGATATAGGGTCAGGCTGGAAAAGAGCTAGCGGAGGTCAAACAAAAACATGGAACCAGTCAATGAAATCCACAACAGTTGGTCTAAGCCACGTAGGAAGGTGCAGACTTCCCGACTGGGGTCCTCGGAAGGGAAACAATTAGTGATATGGCTCAAAGTGTTCGTTCTCAATGGCTAGCGCAGATGCATTCACTCCTTGTGACTTATGATTTCCAATGAAACTGTTTTGTTCTTCGTTATTACTATTCCTTTGTCTCACACCTCTATTTACCGTCTTTATTATGCATTTCTTCTACTTTCTTCTCTTGCTTTGTGTGCTACATGGAATGTGGCGACCTGAACTGCCGCACATATGTGCAAAGTTCTACGTCGAAAACAGACAGACAGGACCGTGAGTCCCCATTTAGGGAAGAAATAGCCAAAGGCGCATCTATGATTGACAGCAAGACTCATCCTGAGAAACCTTGGCAGAATATGCATCCAGCTGTAAATACAGGTATAGAGGCTACTAATAACTTAAAACCAAAAGTTAGTAAAAGCCAGTGGATTTTTGCCGCTTTATCTGAACTGACAGACGCAACAAGACTGATTCCGGCGGCTTCGAATATGACGAGAAGCGAAAGTTGCTCCAACGTAAACTGACAAAAAGTATTCGCGAAGATCGTGAACCGTGGTGGGCAACAAAAGTGAGAGTGATGGAAAAACCGCCAGCGACACCAGAAAAAATACTTGGGCTTATCGATCAAAGGAACAGATTGCAAAAGTCAAGTGATGAATGAGACAATCTTGGAGGAAAGTGGCGCCCTAGTTAGCTCTGAGGATAGACGACTGGAGCGTTGGAAAGAACATTGTGAGGAGAAATTTAACTGGTTTACATCCATGCTTAACTTACGGAGTACCCAACATCTCCCTGATTGGGATGTAAACACCGATCGTTTAACTGTAAATGAGGTTACAAATGCTGTCACTAATTTGAATCTAGATAAGGCAGCAAGAACTGATGGAATAATTCCAGAGGTGTTAAAGGACGGTGAGGAAAGTTTACTGTCTGCTTTAACTAAAATAGTAGACAGAGTCTGGGAATCAGAGATAGTCCTGTCAGACCGATGTAAGTTGTTGACTATTGTGACATACAAGGAGGGAGACAAGTTTTTGTGTGATAATGACAAGGGGATTAGCTTGACTAATATGGTATCTAAGGTTTTAGGTTCAATAATCATGCATAGACTAAGTAGTGCTCGAGAGAAACAAACATGAGAGGACCAGGCAGGCTTTAAAGCAGGGAGAGGGTGTATAGACCCTTCGACAGACTTTGGAACACAGACATATTTACCAGAATTAAAGAGGTACCACATTTCTCGATCTAAAGACGATACTCGACTCCGTCGACCGACACGTACTATGACAATGATTGGTCATGGACGGAGTGCCGAGAAAGTACATACCTCTAATTAAGGTACTCTATCCGGACCTAAACAGAAGCACAAGACCTTACAAAGAGCTGTTACCTCAAATAATGACAACCAGTAGTGTTGTCTATATTACTGTCCAATTTCATCGTAAGTGTAATGATAAAATTGACTCGAATTGACTTTGGCGATCTAAGAATTGACTTGTTACCAGGGAATAGGCTTCTTGACTTAGATTATGCGGATAATACAGTCCACCTACGCAAAAACATTAATAAAATGCGGTCTTCTGGGCACCTTGAGTAGCAGTCTTCGAATGTTTAGGATGAGATTAGCTGCTGTCAAATGATAGATGATGCTATAGGATTGAAATAAATTAAATTCTAACGTACAGATAAGGAGTAAACTTGTAGAGTAAGTTGACCAGTTCACCTATTTCGGAAGTTTCATCAGCCTCAACGGGCTGACCGCTGACGGAATCCCAGCACGCATACAAAAGGCTCATTTGGCATTTACCAACCTGAATCATCTCCGGTGTGGACTTGATAGCCGACTGTCGACCGAAGCATGTGTGTACTGCTCAGCAGTTCTCTCCATCCTTCTTCATTGTTGTGAGATGTGGTCATCGGAAGTAGAAGAATGAAAAAAGTTAGAGTCTTTGGTCACCTGTGTCTGCGTTCTATCTCCCTTGTGAAATGGTATAACTGAGTGAGTAATATTGAGATTAGGCGTCGAGTGTTAAGTAGTGAGGTGAAATCTGTCGATGAGGTTGTGAGGCTGCATCGATTGAGATGGTCAGGACGTGTTACACATGCCTAGCCATCGCCTTCGTCGACGGGCAGTGTTAGGTGACATAGAATGGATAGGTTGGAAAAGAGCTAATCGTGGTCAGAGTAAAACGTAGAATCAGGCCATGAAATCACTGACAGTTAGTTTGAGACACGTAGGAAGTTGTAGACTGCGTGGTTGGGGTCCTCGGGACTCTAAGAACCAATGGCTAGAGACTAGTAATGATGTGGCACAAAATCTTCCTCAATGACGCAGATACATTCACTCTATATGATTTCCCATATCCCCTATTGCTTTCCGAAGTTACCACTCTTTTTCTCTTACATTTCTGCTTGTTGTCGTTCTTTTGCATATCTGTGTTTCTCTGTAGTCTTCCTTTCTGTGTAACATGGAGTGTGGCAACTCGTACTGCTGTACTTCTATGCAAAGTTCTGTGTTGAGACCAATCAGTCAAGAAAGAGCTAAAAGTTGATTGATAAAGACACGCTCAAGCTTTCTTCCAACTCTGATTATTCACTCTTACTAGTGTCCTATAACAACTGCTGTATTTCTTTCTACCAAGATTACCATCGGTCGACTGAGATCAGTACTCTGTAAGCTTGTCACCCTGACCTAAGAAAGCAAATGATACATTGAGGACTCCACAGTAAAATATATTTTAAACACTGAGAGTGAATGCTCACTTTTCTTAATATCTAGCGGTAGAACCAAACAAGATTACTTGATAGTCATTCTTTTTCAATTTTCTCACCTAAAACACTATCGTGATACTTCGAACGGAAGTGTAGATTTGCGAATATGTGCGAAACCTTCTTCGTTGGGATGTGCCAAAATAATTTCACTGCGCAACCTCAAACAAAATAAACACTTAGCACTCCTACAGTTCTGCTCTGATAATCATTTGTTTCTCGTAAGCACTAACTTTAAACACAAGAAGAGACACTGTTTAACCTGGCGACCCCCATCATCAAACCAACGCTGGACACAAATAGACCACATAGCAATAAGCTATCGTTGGCGTGGGTCGGTAGGAGATTGTCGCTCCTTCTGGAACACGTGTGTAGATACCGATCACGCACTGGTCCGGGCTCGTGTGTGCTTACAACTGAACGGACGTAGGAAACAGCTGGCGGTAAAACCATCACGTCCCCAGCTCGATCAGGAAACTAAATCCCTATTTGAGGAAGAACTAGCTAAACGCATATCTGAATTCGACAGCTGTGCTCACCCTGGAGAAGCCTGGAAGAATATTCAGTCAGCTATAGATACAGCTGTAAAAGCTGTGAATAAAGCAAATCCAAAGGTGAGTAAAAACCACTGGATCTCCACCGCCTCATCCGAACTGATAGATGCTGGAAGACTTATTCCGGCGAGCTCCGAATTCAATGAGGAGCGAAAGCTGCACAAAAGGAAACTTACTAAAAGTCTCCGCAAGGACCGTGAACAGTGGTGGCTGACAAAGGCAAAAGAGATGGAAAAAGCATCGATGATAGGCAACACTAGGCAACTCTTTAGACTCATCAGGGAAACGGGTGGGAGAAGGCAAATCATAAGTGAGACTATTTCTGAGAAAAATGGCTCCTTAATTAGCTCTCAGGATAGACGCCTTGAACGCTGGAAAGAACACTTTGAGGGACAATTTAACTTACCTACAGCCACACTGAACCTCCCCGACATCCAGCACACACCCGAATGGGATATAGAAACTGGTCCGCCGTCTGTAAGTGAGGTCACAAAAGCTATCAGTAACTTGAAACGAGGCAAAGCGGCTTTTCTTGTACTTTCTTCTCTTGCTTCGCGTGCTACACGGAATGTGGCGACTTGAACTTCCGCACATTTGTGCAAAGTTCTGTGTCGAAAACAGACAGACAGACAAAGCGGCAGGACCCGACGGAATTATTCCGGAGGTGTTTAAATATGGGGGTGACATACTAGTTTGTAGATTAACTGAGGTACTAGGCAAAGTCTGGGAATCAGAGACAGTGCCATCAGACTGGGGTAAGTCACTTATTATACCGATATTCAAGAAGGGAAACAAGTCCTCGTGTGATAATCATAGGGGGATCAGCCTAACGAACATAGTCTCTAAAATCCTAGGCTCAGTAATCATGCATAGACTAAGCAGAACTCGGGAGGAACAGACAAGGGAAAATCAAGCAGGCTTTAGACCAGGTAGAGGGTGCATAGATCATATCTTCACTCTTCGACAGATTCTAGAACATAGACACACTTTTCGGCGTCCAACAATTGTCATATTTCTTGACTTGAAGGCGGCCTTCGACTCCGTGGATCGAAAGGTACTATGGCAATGTCTGACTGTGAAGGGAGTGCCAAGAAAGTACATTGCACTAATCAAGGCACTCTATTCAAACTCACGTAGTCGTGTAAGGGCTTATGGGGAATTGTCATCTGAATTGGTAACAACCAGTGGTGTCCGACAGGGATGTCCACTTTCCCCATTTCTGTTTAACTTCATCATAGATATGCTGATGGAAGTATCCTTAACTGAACGTAATGACTTAGGAATCGACTTGTTACCAGGGAATAGTCTTATGGACTTAGAATATGCAGATGACATAGTCCTGTTAGGGGAAGATGCTGACAAAATGCAGAGTCTTCTGAACACCTTGAGCAGCAATCTTCGTATGTTTGGCATGCGATTCGCCCCTACAAAATGTAAGATGCTGCTACAGGACTGGACCACGTCAACTCCTAACTTAGTGATAGGGAGTGAAGTGATAGAACATGTTGACCACTTCACCTATTTGGGAAGTTGTATTAGCACCAACGGACTGATTGGCGATGAAATCTCAGCACGGATCCGAAAAGCTCGAGCTGCTTTCGCTGACTTACACCATCTCTGGCGTAGGCGTGACATCCGGTTATCAACCAAGGGACGTGTGTACTGCTCAGCAGTTCGCTCCGTCCTTCTCTATGGCTCTGAAACATGGCCAATACGAGTTGAAGACATGAAAAGGTTGACTGCTTTCGATCATAGATGTCTACGATCTCTTTCTCACGTTAGGTGGTTTAATAAGGTAAGTAATGTTGACGTTAGGCGTAGAGTGTTGGGCAAAGAGGGAAAATCAATCGACAAGGCTATAAAGTTACATAGATTGAGATGGCTAGGTCACGTGCTGCGTATGCCTAACCATCGCCTCCCCCGACGGGCATTGCTAGCTGATATAGGTGGTGCAGGTTGGAAAAGAGCCAGTGGTGGCCAAACAAAAACATGGCCTCATCAATCCATGAAATCCTTGACAGTTAAACTGAGTCAGGTAGGGAGATGCAGACTCCCGGGTTGGGGCCCTCGGGACTCTAGGAATCAATGGCTGGAGACAATAGGTGACATGGCTCAAAATCGTTGTCAATGGCGCAGATGTATTCAGTCTCTGTAATCTTTCATATTCCTTTTTACCATTACCCATTCTGTTTCACTCTTATACTTGTCAAACTCTATTGATTCTCTTCACTCATCTTCTTGTCTACCTCTGTGTGCTATTTGGAACGTGGCAACTCGAACTGCTGCACTTCGGTGCCAAGTTCTATGTTGAATCCAGACAGACAGACAGACTTAGCACGTCCGTCGCACTTAATGTTTTATTAAAATACCTTAATTCGCTCTAGGGTTTTTGAAATACACCACGATTTATGGACAAACAAAAAAACAACGCTAATGCAACTGACTTAAGATAGTGACGAAAAACTGCAAATTTTTTCAGAATACATCCTTTCGTCTCAGTAATGCTAGCTGGACTGTTTTCAATTGCAAACTTAGTAAGTTTCCGAAATAACCACTAGAGAGCAAAATATAAGCTGGATTGAAGGCATGTAACTGACCGACTGGTTTCAACATAGAACTGCACTGATGTGCAGCAGTTCGAGTCACCACACTTCCCTCAGTGCTCAAAGCCAGAGAAAAAAGTAAAACGAAACGCAAAATAGACAGTAAACAGATGTATGAAGCAAAAAGATTAGTAATGTCGAAGGACAATATAGTTTTGTCGGAAATTATGTCATAAGGAGTAGATGTATCTGTGCCATTGATAACGATTTTAAGCCATATCACCAACTGTCTCCACCCATTGGTTTTTACCGTCCCGAGGACACCTACCAGGAAGTCTGCACCTTCCTACGTGACTTAACTAACTGTTGTGGATTTCATTGACTGATGCCACGTTTTGGTTTGACCACCACTGACTCTTTTCCAACCTGACTCTATGTCAGCTAACACTGCCCGTCGAGGAAGGCAATGGCTAGGCATACGTAACGTATGTCCTAAACATCTCATTTGATGTAACTTTACAGCTTCGCCTATCGATCTCCGCTCCCTACTTAGCACTCGACCCCTAATCTCAATATTGCTCACCCTATTATACTATTTCACACGGGAGATAGAAGGCAGGCACCTATGGTCAAAAGCGGCAAGTTGAAGGCGTATACATAGATAAATCACGCGTTACGGTTTTCCAATAAACTGTAGCTTACCATATTATCAATAGCACTCATTGCATCTTCAGCTTCCTCAAATTCTACAAAGGCAAATCCTCTGTGCTTTTCTAAAAAAGGATTAAACTAAATCAAAACTCACCTGTTTGATAATCCATAGGCATGTTAATGCTTACTATGTCACCGAAAGTTATAAAGGCTGCACGAATAAGAGATACATCAACTTGTTCCGCTAAGCCCCCTTTCAAAGATAATTCGACGTGATGAATGAAAACCTACCGACATATATAATACGTTTATTCACAGGATTGTATGACCCTGCAGGGAGGTCCAGCGGTGGCAGGTCAGCCTAAAATTATGAGTTTGTCAGAATAGAACGTAAGTAAATTTCAAAAATCAAGAAAATAAGATATAACTAATTTGTATTTCAAAACACTGTAAATCTACAAAACGATCATCACGGAAACTGCATTGGCTGTGGATTATGCATATAGCAGATTATGAGTGCACTGATTGACAACCTATTATTGTTAGATAATTATTTTAAAAAAAGACTAGTTACATGAATCCACTGATAAGCTGTTTTGTATCCTCTCCTGTTCTTGCGTTAGCATAGGTAATGAATGCACAATCAACAGCTAGCCATGCAGCAAACTTCATCTGAGTACTTGTAACTTAGCGTACTAATAAATTACTTCAAATAATAGTCCGCACATACTGAGGACTATACCAAAAAAGTTGAGGTAATCAATGGTTTGATCTAGTGGGGGAGTATCTTGTGTACACTCGGCATATCTTCGCAATTTGCTCGGTCTTCTGGGATCGGTGGACGAAGATAACATATCTAAATATTGGGATAAAAGTAAGTCTCAATGAAACATCTAATATCAAATATATATATATATATATATATATATATATATATATATATATATATATATGTAAAAAGATCATACTTAAGAGCAAGTACTAAAGGCTAAATTAACCCCGCAGAAGTGAAAAGAAGTATATGGTTAAGAACCGGGGGTAGACAGACAAAAAGGTAATACAAAAGATGGAAATGTACGGGAGGAATGGCATAAACATGAACGGTGATGAAAGTCAGTCCGGAAAATTACAAGGAATGAACAAAACTAAGGTCTAGTGGACTACTTTGAGCCACGTCGGCAATATTTTGTAGTCGAAGAGACCACGTTCTAAATTGCCACTAGAAACACCATGTCACGAAAACAATGAAAACCATCCCAACTCATTGATTGGATTTTGATTACAGCTTGACGCCACACCGTATTTTTGGTACAAGTATGGAATGTTCAGCAAGTGATATCGGTAGCCCAAATTTTGCAGGCCGACCATAGATACCGGGTGTGCGTCGGCAGGGGGTCGAACCCCGGACCATGTGCATGGTCAGAGAGAGTCCTAACCACTGTGCCACCGACAGAGGAATTACAACAACACTACCCACAACAAACTTTCACACAAGCTACAACCCGTCAATTTAATTTCAATTCAAATAACTCCCAGCCAGCATTTTTTTCGGGCGCATTGCAGACATTTTGGGGCAAAAACTTCGGGTAGATCTACTTACGTGGGACAGTGTCCCGAAGTCTGCCCCAAAAAGTCTGCAATGCGTCCGAAAAAAATGCTAGCTGGGTAATTTAGACCGTAACTTAAAAATGGGAGAAATAACTGTTAAGTAGCTTCGTAAGACTACACAGAATAATCAATTAGATGTTATCCTAACAGTTGTAAGTTACTTCAGCGTAACTGCACGACTACTGCCTTCAATAATACTGATAAACCAGCACACCAAAAGTAACTGACGATTTCCCGTAACATGTTAGCCTCGGCTACACAGTCGTGGCAAATATATCTCGCGTTAAGAAACAGCTCATGAGTCTCTTGCTTGTCAAAGTCACTTTTTGTTTTGACGTTCAGAAATTTAAATCATGCAATGTCAAACCTTATGCACCGAGGTAGAGCGGCCGCACTGGTGACCTTGAAACGCTCAGTAGGCAACTGAAACCATGCAAATGACAGGCTGGACTTATTCGGAACGTTGGTTGAAACTTAGTTTGGCAAATTTTTTGTCAATGCATCTTAACAAAATTGTGTTATTTGTTTTTTGGACTGATAGCAATTCTAATTTGTTGACCAGTTTGTTGAGTACGTAACAATGTGATTGTACACTTTTTGGTTACTTGTATAAATTCGAGATATTGTACATAATTTTTGTTTAAAACGCTTCTTGTTGAAATATACATAACTTCCGTGTACAATTGAAAAATACACTCTGCTGTTGGAGACTTCGTCTTCTCCCTGGTCACTTCTGCTTACTTGCTCCACTCACACCGTGTTGTATACTTCGGGTTTATTGTAGGAGCCTACTACTCTCAACCGAAGACATTTCTACAACCGGAACACAGCAGCTACAGCAGACGCAGTCCAAACAATTAACGTGCCCGTGGATTATATAATTAATTTGTAGCCGAGGACTTAGACGTTATCTTCAAGTAATCCTTTTTGTTGCTATAACTCGTCACTGTATTTTTGGTAATATATTGTGATTTAACACTCCACTGACTTGGATTATTACTTTTATATTTGGAACGTTAGTGAACTCTAATATTAGTCCCCTACAAGTTATGTTGGTGTCTGCGTGATGTGATCTGACTGCGACACACACCTACAAACACTTACAGAACCTTCTTTGAGAACAGGAGTTTCCATGTAGATGTGTCTTCCACCGTATGTGTGTTTGGACAGGAACTATCGTAAGTTGAAAGGTTCTCTGAGTGGATTTGTACTGATTAGTGCAGTGCAATATGGTTTATGTGGATTTGATGTATAGAAGATATCTCTGCTTTATTAACATTGTATCATTATGTGCTTGGCTGACTGCTAGGCTATCAGATGTAGGGGGTTCTCATGATTACTGCAAGTGCAGTGTAGTGGAGAAGGCAACTCAACATTTGTGAATAATGCGCTTCAAGATAAGTTGTGTATAACTGCAGGACAAACGTAAAAACCAATGTGTAAACCAACGGTTACAGAACTGCGACCTAACATGGCGAACTAACATGGATAAAAATGACCTTCAGGTGTCTAACTCCGTCACTGCCCCTGTGCGTGCAGTATAAGTTCAGTCCACTCTCAGTCTTTAAACTAGTGAGCCCTACTGTGAACTTCACATTCCTTGACAAACAAATACAAATACTATGGGCTCATTCCATTTTACTTCATTTCTTATGGTACACGTGAAAAATCTTAAATCCTTTTTACCATTAGTGGCCGTAAACCTAAGCTCATCGGTATCCGACTAACTGGCAAAACTGCACCTCATGTCATTTTGGCCAGACAATGCAGAAACATGGTTTCTGCTGGCCGAGGCTGACTTCGTGAACTTCGAGTCACTGACCGCCTTTCACAATCCCCTTTAGTCGTACACGCTTCGCCGTAGGAATCGAGTAAGTGCATCAGGGCGCAAGTGTGCAGCTCAGAGACCTTACCTTAGGAGATCCAATCACCGGAACAGAGGAATCATGGCGACATCTCTGGCAATTTTGACCTAAGCTAGCATTTGACAGCACATATTCCCTCAAGAATGCAAGAATCTATTGGCCAACATTAGCTCAATGGAGGACTCTCTAGAGGCACGTTTCTAGGTTGCCTCTGCCAATGCAGACTGTTCTCCTGAAACTTCAAGGTATTGTTATCGACGATCTAGCTGATGCAACTGATACAATTCTGGGAACACCACGGCGGCCAGCCACTGAAATGTGCCTGATCCATAAATAGACTCCGATTAGTGCAGCGAAACGGCACAGTTATGCAACTCTGTTAGGCGTCTATTTAGGTTTAGCAGCACCCAACAGCCTACAATATTCCCCTCAGCGTAGAGACTCACGAGGACAATTTAAATCCAAAGCACGTTCACCTAAGTACCCTGATGAGCGTTGGTATCATAATATCTATGACCAGAAAGCTAAATGTTGCAATTTCGGAAGACTCTGAGACTCTATCTCTCAAACTACCCCTCCGACATGCATTCTCAACAACCACAACCGATTACGGTAGCCACTCACATTGCGTTCGGGATAGAGTTCGTCAAACCTGCACTTATAATAATAATTTATATTCCGCTTATCTGCGATACATACCATTTTTACAGGCATGACCAAACATGGTATAAATTACGACCGTAAAATATCAGTAAATTAATACTGTTTCAATGGTGTGAATATTTGTACTGTCATACAAGCAATCAAAACAAGCCCATATAGGTGTTAAATCACGTAGCTGCAACGAAGGTCGACATCAAGGTTGGGCGGCAGTCAAAACCTTGTTTATTTTCCTGCGTTCAGCGCTCGTCAACAGATGATCAATCATTATTTAAGCGAATGCTATTTCTCCGCATGATTGGGAGCTATTTCAAAGGGAACAGTACGTTCTGAGAAGCTGCAAGCCAGGATAAAATACTAGTAGAGATAATATATTACTAACTAACGGGAATGAGTTTTGTCTTCTCTGAATGATAACGCCCGTTTGTGATGTAAATTGTTAACCAAATTGGTCTAGATTTCGAAACTATGACATTTTCGTTGGCAATATGGCTCTCCTCAAACAAAATGTTTTTTTAGCTTCCGTTCAGTTTTTATTCCAGCAAGGCAAGACTTTGACAAAGCAGGGAACACAAATGAAAACAGTCCGTTTTAGTTTCATTATGGGCTTAGACAGTTAAGATATTACAGGGTGTAACAATGTTTAGATAAATATTGTTGTTAATATTACAAGTGATAGTTTAGTCGGAAGTAACTTCCGCGACCCTGAAAAGCAGAAGACGTAGAATTAGATGAAACATCAGATGTCATAAAAATCCCTGGAAGGCACGCACGAAGGCGTGTTGACAAGAAACTGAGCCTACTGGTAAGTGTTGGAGGCAAAATCATCATATGTAAGTTAAAAGTAAATGACTAGTAATGTTTTTAAAAAATTAAGATCTTAGCTCACGTCCTAATTCTGAGCAGTCGAAATGCATATTCCTGTCCAACATAATGAAGAGAGAGTTATATTTGTGACCACCGCGTACCTTGTTGCAGGTGCAGCACGAATAAACTGTGAGTACACACATTTGCAGTCCAAAGCGAAATAAAAGCAAAATGTTCCAAATGGTAATTAGAAAGTCCAAAAGAAAGTCGAATAGCCAAACAGAATTCTCTTGATGGAAAAGTGCTGAACAGCTTCAAGATTATTGTTCATTTAAATCAAATATATCAGACACACATGGTACCAACCTTCAAATGTGAGGCTATCCGGCGTTCGAACACCAAGAACGCAATAGTTCAACCCAAAATTAGTTCGCAATCCACAGAAAGTGAATTCGACAAAACTGTACGAGTGCTCAGTATAGGAGAAATGGCCCAACAATCACAAAATGCAAAGTGACATTTAAAGTGCAAATTTAGGGAACAAAGGTGACAATGTAGTTGAAGATTGAACGATCGGTTCATAGTTGTTTGCTCAAACCCAACCTCCCCAATTTTCGCGGAGGCATCAATACGACAGTCATCGTCTCACCGGTCGCTGTTCAGAAAGAAATCTGGACAAAACCGTCAGAAGTAATATTGTGATTTATTATTGTGATATTTGTTCATAGACCTTAGTTGTAAAGTTGGCTATATATTATGGTGTTAGGATGAAGAATTCTCGAGTAGCCAATCTGTGTTCTGTCTTTTGCGTCCGTTATTACTAAGCGTTTCTGAGAAGCTTCGAGGAACAGCATGAGTCCCTGCGTAGCAAGAGCTGGGCATTAACGGTTTACGAGACATAGGTGATAAAAGGT